AGGTTCGCCATCACTGGCATAGGGGGAAAGTTTCATTTCGCCTCTTTTTGAAAGAAAGCTTTTTCCCACCTGAAAACTTGTCATAACATGTTTGTAGTTTACTATGTGAAAACTGAGCACGATCCTGTGTTTCACTTGAAAATAAATGGATTCAAACTTTCCCGATTGTCAAGTCCTCGGATTTACAACCAGTGCAACCTCTGGGACTGTTCCCATTGGCTGCAGCGCATCTGTTTTCAGGTGGGAGAATCACAGCCTTTTGATTGGTTGCTCGCCTGACAGCCTCCATATAAATAGCTGTCAGGCACCTCCTGTCAGTTGTTCTGTTACCAGAGTTGTTAGTTAATAAAGCATCTTTAGAACCATGCTGTGATCTCGTCATTGCTTCATAGAACAAAGCACTGGCGATGAGAATGGCGACTTTCTCCACAGCTCAAATGTTTGCCGAATTCTGCCCTGAAAGGGAAGCTTGGAAAGTGTTTCTTGAATGCTTTGAGTGCTTCCTTCAGGCACAAGATTTTGTGGAGCTGTCCACTGACAGGAAGATGGGATTCTTCCTTAGCTCGTGCGGGTCGGAGATGTTCGCTATGGCTCGAGTTCTGGAGCACCAACCCCTGTTCATGCCGTGCAGTGGGACATATTGTTGGCGAAGTTTAAAGGGCACCACGCCCCTGCACCATCCCACAGACATTCCTTCCGCCAATGCACGCAGAGGGAGGACCAGACTGTCAACCAATATATCGCATCTCTGAGGGCATCGGCGGTGAATTGCAAATTCCTTGACCTAGAAGAGGTGTTGTTGGAGCAGTTCATCTATGGAGTCCGTGATATGAGACTCCAACGCAGGCTGTTAGCCCGGTCAGAACTTTCCCTCAACTTGGTCGTAGATGAGGCTTGGGCTACTGAGATCGCAGAGTGCACCACATCTTTTTGGCCCCTTCCTCTGTTCATCATCAAGATGGGGAAGACTACCAGGACTCTGAGGGGGGTCACAAAATCAGTCCCCTCAGAATGGCTAACAACCGAGGCGGCTATTCTACCGCCTGAGCTGCGGGGGAAAACATCTCCGCTCTCAATGTAAATTTAAGTCTGCGGTCTGCTGGCGCTGCAGCAAAAAAGGACATTTAGCCCAAGTGTGCCGCGTGCCTCTGCCGTTCCAGGTTCCCGCTGACAATAAAACCAATGGCCGCTGTCGTGATCGCATCTACAAGCCTCGTGAAGACTCCCTCACTGTTTCTGAGAGAGACAGTGTTTTCGGTGAATGGTCTGTTAGCTCGGCCACGACCAGCTACCATGGCGGGTCTAAAATTCATCTCAACGTGACCATTGAAGGGCAGCACTGTCGAATGGAGTTGGACACAAGATCGGCCAAGTCCATCATTTCCTGGGACACGCTCCGCAAAATCCTACCTTCCGTCAATCGAAATCAATTGTCCGCCAACCCTTGCTGTCTTAAGGACTATCAGGGCAACCCAATTCCTATTATTGGCTGTGAGCACTTTAATGCGGCCAATTTGAGGGATGCCTCCTTTTAATTGTGGTGGCGAAGTCGTTGGGCTTAGAATGGTTCCAAGCATTAGGCTTGTCTATTGAGGGTATTAACTCGACAGAATCCAAGAATGAATTTCAAACCCTGATCCAGGAGTTCGCCGACATTTTCGACAACTCCTTAGGTGAATATAAGGGTAACTCCTGGTCACTTAATTTAGACCCGCAGATAGTGCCCATCCGTTTAAAGGTGCAGCACGTTCCCCTGGCCCTGCGGGAGAGGGTGGACGCTGAGCTGGTTAAATTGGTAGCACAGGGAGTGCTGGAGGCAGTTGATCATGCCACATGGGAAACCCCTATTGTAATCCCCTTAAAAGCCGACGGCTCAATTAGAATTTGTGGGGATTACAAATTGATGTTGAACAAGGCGCTACAAGCCCACCCCTATCCCGTCCCGGTAGCCCAGCATGTATTACATTCGTTAGGCCAGGGGAAAATCTTTGTGAAGCTCAATTTGGCGCAGGCCTACCAGCAACTGCCAGTAGACAACACTACTGCAACTGTGCAAACGATCGTAACTCACAGGGGTGTCTTTAAATGTCACCGGCTCCAATTTGGAGTCAGCATCACCCCCGGACTTTTTCAGAGTCTCATGGAGCGGTTGCTCCAAGGACTCCCTGAAGTCATTCCGTATTTCAACGATGTTCTGGTCGCTGCTAGCAGCCAACCAGACCTCGTCAGAATACTGAGGAACGTATTCCATCGCTTCCAGGAATGTGGTCTCAAGTTAAAAAAAGCTAAATATAGATTAGCAGTTCCATCTGTGGAATTCCTTGGTTATCTAATTGATGGCCCGGGAATACACCCTAACCCGGCTAAGGTGGAGGCTATTATGGCCGCCCCGATTCCAAAGAACAAAGCAGAATTGCAGGCTTTTCTAGGGCTTCTAAATTTCTATTCAGTTTTCATTCCCCATAAGGCGACGGTTGCGGAGCCGCTCCACTGCCTGCTGGACAGCACAGCCCATTGGGTTTGGACAAGCCGCGAAGCACATGCGTTTGAGGCTGTCAAATAATTATTATTATGCTGGTCCAGTACAGTGAGCGCCTTCCCTTGATTCTGGCATGTGATGCCTCTCCTTTTGGTGTGGGGGCGGTTATAAGTCACGTTTTGCCCAATGACATAGAGGCACCCATCACGTATTACTCCTGCATTTTATCAAAGGCTGAACACAATTACAGCCAAATCGATAAAGAGGCTTTGGCAGCTGTTGTGGGAGTAAAACGGTTTCACCATTATCTTTATGGCTGGTCATTCCAATTAGTGACCGACCATAAACCGTTGCTAGGGCTGTTGGCAGGGGATCGGCCTATGCCACAAATCCTATTCTTATTCGCTAATGTACAGGCCAGGGAAACACATTGGGCATGCGGACACTCTTAGCGGTTGCCCGCTGCCTACATTAGTGACTGATCTACCCCAGTGTCTCAGGTCCTCCTGGTGGATGACTTACACCTGCCCATATCTGTCGTAGACGCCCTATCTAAATGGATTGAAGTATTCCCTATTATCTCTACCACCTCTGACACTACTATTCGAGTGCTCTCAATTTTGTTTGCCACACATGGTCTACCAGATACGGTGGTATCCGATAACAGGCCTCAATTCGGTTCTGCCACGTTCCAAACTTTTCTTGCCACCCTGGGCATCAAGCATGCCCCAGTGGCTCTCTATCATCCTGCAGGGAACGGTCTTGTCGAGCAGGCTGTCCATTCGGTGAAAGAGGCTATAGGCCATTTAGACAAAGGAAATCTGCAATCTAAATTAGCTTCCTATCTCTTAGCGCAGCATACCACCCCATGCCAGGCCAAGGGGAAAAGCCCAGCAGAGATCCTCATGGGCCGCCAGTTGCGCACCACATTGGACAGATTACACCCTTTGTATGTGGCAGTGGACCCCCAGGGTGGGACTGATCTACTTAGGTCTTTCCAGATTGGGGACTGGATATTTGCTCAGAGCTTTACGGGCAACTCTAAGTGGGTGCTGCAGCGAGTGACTCAAATAACTGGACCATGTTCCTATAGGACCCAGCTCGATGACGGATGACTATGGCAGCGCCATGTGAACCATTTGCCCCACCACCTGCCGGACGAAGGCCAGAGTTTTCTAAGCAGAACTGACGCCGATGTAATTCCTGATGCCGCCCACCGGCACACCACTTCTCCAGCTCCAGACGTGCCGGCACCAACACCCAAGGCGATCTCAGCGGAGAACTTACCTGGACAGGCAGCTTTGGCCTCAAGGGTGGAGTTTCCAGTTAATGTTGATTCACCAGAGTTGACTCCTCCTCCTGCGACAACCACTTAGGAACTGCGGAGGTCTTGGTGGGTGTACCATCGCCCCGCCTATTTAGCAGACTACACATGCACGCTCCGGGGAAAAGGAGTGTCAAGTCCTCAGACTTACGACCAGCGCAAGTTTAAGACTGTTTCCATCAGCGCTGGTTTTCAGGCAGGAGAATCACAGCCTTTTGATTGGTTGCTTGCCTGACAGCCTCCATATAAATAGCTGTCAGGCACCTCCTGTCAGTTGTTCTGTTACCAGAGTTGTTAGTTAATAAAGCATCTTTAGAACCACACTGTGATCTCATCATTGCTTCATAGAACAAAGCAAAGGGAACGCCATGTCCTGTTACAACAGGAGGGCAGGAATAAGACCACGGGAGGTGCTTTATATTTGAATTAATTCTGCAAAGCTAGACTTTTGGTGGAGTTGGAATCTCTTCAGAACAGAATGCGTGCACGTTTTGCTTTTGGGACAGGTGACTTCAGGGTTTCCCTTTAGAAACCTCTATTTATTTTATTTATTTATTTAGTTTGTCACTCAAGTACAACAGGAATAAGAATAAACATGAAATAAGAACACAGGAAATGGGTACAAATAAATGGGGACAGTAGGGCAGGGACAGTAGGCATGGCGGTGCGCTTATGCACGCTCCCTTTACGGACCTCTTAGGAATGGGGTGAGGTCCACAGTAGACAGTTTAAGGTTGAAATTATGGGGGTTTGAGGATGTAACAAGAGAGTCAGGTAGTGCATCTACATGTGTGTCGTGTGTGCGTTTGTGTAAACTTCACATCTATCTCTTCAAAAAGAACTTCCGGTGTCTGCATTCAAGGCGGGCAGTCGCTTTTTTCGCTGGCCGCTGCTCCCTACTCTAAAGAAGCGTCCCTTCAGCGAGAGAAGCCCGGCTTTATGCATCGGCTCCGCTTCTGCGGGCGGGCAGCACCAGCTGCTTGCAGAGCGAGGAGGAGGAGGGGCTTGAGCAGGCCCGATTTCTTTCCCTATCCTGTTCGGGGGGGGGGGGAGTCTGGGCCCGTCCCCTCGGAAGGGCTGCTATTGGCCGTAGAGGATGCCAGTCGACGCTTCCTGCCTGCGCCGGGAGCCGAAGGGAGAGAGAGAGAGAGAGAGAGAGGTTGCAAGAAAGAGGAAGCGGTAAAGCCGAGCGGAGTCGAGAGGAGGGAAGAGGTGCAGGGCGCGGTCCCTGTCATTGATCCGGGCTACTTCCCTCAATGTTCCCTCTCTTCCTTCCCTCTTAGGGCGGATTGGCCCTCGCTTCTTTCCCTTGTCTATGCGAAAGACCGAGCCGGAAGTCGGGCAGAAAGGGCGGCGCGGACGAGAGGCAAAGCTTAAACCGGGCGTTCCCGGAGAGAAAAGGGCTTTCGAGGGAGGGAGAGAGAGAGGGAAGAGCGCCTTTTCCTCTTCGTGGCCACCCGAGAGCGACCCCAGCATGGAAGCTGTCGCCAAATACGACTTCAAAGCCACCGCGGACGATGAGCTCAGTTTCAAACGGGGAGATATTCTGAAGGTAAGTAAGGTTAGGCAGGCAGGGGTAGGTGGTGGCACAAAGAAGCCGAGGTTGCCCTCTTCAGGCTTTCCCCGAAATGGGCTTCGCCTCCAGAAACTCCGTCACATCGTTCCCGAGACCTCCCTTGCTTGGTGTCGCGCTACCCCGCCTCCCACACGTTGAATTTGGCTTTGTTCAAAGTTGATGTAGAAATTGCCTTTCAAGTGTTTGGCTTGGACTGTTTTTCCTTCCTTTATCAAGATCGGGGGTGGGGGGTAGTGGGGGTGGTCGAGCTGCGCTAAGGTTCATATATATATAGATGTAGATATAAACGGATTGCTGTGTGATACTGCAAGGTTTGGGTAGTTGTCAATTATTTCCTTCCCATTTAAAATGTTTCCTCCTCGCTTTGGGTAGTGTCAGATTCCCTGCTACTAAGTTGTGTGTGCTCCAGGGAGGGCGAACAACAGCAGTTTGACTTTGCGCTGTTATCACAGGGTTGCTTGGAAATATTCTTCTGCTGCTGCTGCTGCTGCCCTGTGCTATCCAGATTCTTTTGGCGATGTTATTTTTTTCACACTGTGGTTTCTTATGTGCATGTTGTACGCCTATCAATCGGAGGTCACATTAATGCGTGTTGGAAAAGAAAGCTTTGTGGGTGAACTTCAACTCCCAGAATTCCCAGCAAGGGTTGTTGTAGTTAAGGATTCTGAGAATTGAAGGCCTCCTACAGACTGGGAAGTTGCCCTAGCTGGGAACTACTGCCACAGTTCATGGAAAGTAATAGTGTCTTCTCCTACTACTACTTTTTTACTAGTAATATACCCCATAAAC